GGCTGAGGGAGAGCCGAGGGAGAGGAGAGAGAGAGGGAGAGAGGGAGAGCACACACACACACTCACTCACTCGACACGACTGAGGGTCGGACGCAGACACAGTGGCAAGGGCACAAAGTCGAAGTCTTGGATTCCCGAATGCTGAAACAGCAAGTCACACGGAGTACGAGTACAGCAGCTGGAAACTGGTACGAGACTGGTCCTTGTACCGTATGGGGAGCCGGTATAAGTACCGGTGACACGAACAGTACCAGGGGCATTTCTGCAAAGGCCCCGAGGGCAGAACTGAAAAATGTGGTATTTGAAAGTGGCGCCCGAATTGCAGCATGGCGCCAGTTGTCCAAAATCCTACGGTACCAAAGGAGGGGCTGGAAAAAGGGTGCCAGGGGGAAAACGGGATGCAGCCGAAACAGCAAAAAGATAGACCAGGGATCGAGCCCTGGCGGAGTCCGTAACAGTATAACGGAACGGAAATTACACAACCTGTCCCTGCTTGGTTGTGTGAGTACTTCTTCTGTAGAATCTGTACAGAAGGAAGACAGAGAAGGAACTAAGAACCCAAAGAAGAGATGTCACAATCTACTGAAGAACTTACGCGAGATCATTCAGTTGGTCGCAGATAACTGGACCACAATGCCAAAAAATAAAAGGGACCTGAAAGTTTGGGATTGGGCGGTTTTCATGGACCACCTGATCCCAGAACAGTCACTGGCTTTCCGGGATTTTGAAGATGGAGGGAAAGACTGGAACACTTTCCTTTCCCCCCCCGAAAAAAACTCAAACATGCCACATCTATTCTGGGGGGCAGCTGTCCGGTTCCTTATCACCAGCAAGCATGACAAGCGAGAAACAAAACAGAAAAGAAGGGGAGGCGGCTCTGCCCTAGCTCTAGTCGCCTAGGGCAGTGCCCAGACCCCTCTAGCTGGGAGACGCCCACCATATGCTGAGAGGGGTCTGAGCCTCGATCATCCGTCCCCACTGCGTCATAACAGGGCTAGATCACTTTCACAATGCATACCATAGCAGATATAGCCTCATATAGGTGAGCAGATTCAGCAGAATACAGAAACACTCTATCCAGCCGTCTATAATAGAAAAGTTAGTTTTGTTAAAAGGGATAAGCCTTATATACCAGATCTAGCCTCATATAGGTGAGCAGATTCAGCAGAATACAGAAACACTCTATCCCGCCTTCTATAGTAGAAAAGTTACTTTTGTTAAAAGGGGACCAATGTTCAAAAGGGATAAGCTAAGGAAAGTCAGAGGCATTGAAAACCAATATTCAGCCTTCTATAATAGAAAAGTTACATTTATTAAAGAAAACAAAAATCTATATAATCTCGAGTTCTTAACTTATACCACCCACTGACTGATCTGCAGGACCTTGGAGTAGACCAGGCCGAATGGGAGTGGATTCTCAGAGGCGGCAGGGCAGATACAACCTATTGGAATACTCAACCAAGTTAGGGTTTAAAGCACCACTACACCACACATCAGCCCGCGGGTGTCAGCACGAAACCCGCACCACTTCAGAGGCCGCCGATTTTTTTTTCAACGGCGCCCCACGCTGCGCGGCCCCTCCGAGTTTTGCTTGTGGCGACAAAAACTTTCTGCAAGGCTGGGGCCGTGTACTTGCGGTTTAACCTAGGAAAAGATCATGCCATCCAGGACCAATCTTATCCCAGCGCTAGTGAGACCACCTAGGCGGCTAGGATAGGCCTAGATCTGAATAGGTTAGCCATTATCCCTTGGGTCAAGATAGCAATCTGCCGGGCCCCCACTTCAGAGGCCTTCAATGATTTATATTTTCCCTAGCTGTTCCGGTTCATCAATGGCTAAATAAGCACAGAGCAAAGACCAATAGAAGGCCTTGAAATGAGCTCCACCCAACCTGCACAGAGGGTCAAACAGAGGGCATCTTACATTGGTTTTCAACTGTGACTGAATCTCAGCACTATGGGCAAAACTAGAAATTACATGGTTGGGACTGACAAAGAGGAGGACTCACGAAGATCTGAATCCTTTTTTTCCCTTCTTCTTTTGGACCATTTCCTGATTTATCTGTGTCATCGTTGTGCAGGGGCCTCGCTAATCTTCTTTGTATTGTTCGAATTTAACGGATGTCCCGAAGGACCAAAAAAAACTTAAAAAAGAGAAAAAGATCCAAATCCTCTGGTTAACACTTACTGAAAGTTCAGGTTAGTGGTCCAATTTTGAAGCTAACGTCGTTCTTCCCCCCCCGGCCCCCAGAAATGCCGCGCTGCATCTCCTTTATCCAGGAGGTGGCTGATGTACTGAAATTAAAACCTATACAGGAATTCCTGCTCCGCCAATAGTTGGTCGAGTTTGCGATGGGAGACTGGGAGTAACTGGGAGCCTGAGGTGTGCTGTACTTTGAATAGTATGGAAAGAATGATGTCAAGAAACAATAGACAAAAGGAAAAAGGTTGTCCAGGAGGCTTGGGAGATGATCCAGCAACAGGTGGAAACTGAGATCGGAGCAGTGCTGTGAAACCGGTAGGACCGGGGGCCGCTCCCCCAATCGGAACCCGACCGGTCCTACCGGCTGGTCAACCGGGCCGGTTCCCCCCCAGTTGGTCGTAAGTGCATCCTTTTTTTTTTTTTTTTTTTTTTTTTGAAGCCCAGGGTGTTGTAGACGCCAAGGCCTAGACCCACGGTGACCGCTGGCAGCGGCAGCTGGTGGTTGTCCTGACAGGATAGGCCACCTTAATACTCCCAGCGCACTCCCTATCCCTACTATCCTACCTCAGTGTGACCAGCACTCAGGACCATCACCCTACCAGTATCGAGGGCAACTTGGACCAGACAGCAGTGACAAGCACCAAGGAGTGGCAGGGTAGGGACGGTACTTCACACCCAAAAACTATGAAAAAGGGCGGCCTATCTGGGCTGCCGATCTCTCGAGATCAGCGGTCCAGATAGGCCGCCCGCCATTTCCAAGCTTTTTTGGCGGGCCTACCAGACCCAGTCTCTTGGTGTTTACTGGCCTCTTGGTGTTTGCCTAAGCACTGTCAGCCAGCTAGCGGTTAAGGGCCAAACAGTAAGAGCATCGCTCGGCCGATGTTCAGCATTGCAACTGTGCTTCCCAATGTTGGCACCTTTTCAATGTTTGCATTCATGTTTATTAAACTTTGTTCAAGTTCATTGCATGTTCTTAATTCATAAGAAGAAAGTAAAAACGCTAGCCCCTAACAGTATTGTATTTATCTGATTGCATCAGAATTTGAATTTATTACCGCTTTTCTAACAGTTAGATGTGTGTACTATTCAGCCACGTGGGCCAGGGTACATGTCTCTTGGTCATTTGCTCGCTTGTGGAGGTTCTTGGATCAGTGAGATTGTGCATTGCATCCTGGTGGCTTGGTCTGGTTGTCTGGGTGAAGCATCCAATATCGATGGCCACCATTCCCACAGTTTCGACCATTATTCTATCATGCATGAGAGAGCTTGGCATGCTTGCACATCTCCTCAAAACGCCTAGTTGGCTGACTGCTCGTGGGTTTTCCTGACATCTCTCTCTCTGTCTCTGTCTCTGCCTCTCTGTCTCTGTCTGTCTGTCTGTCTGTCTGTCTCTCTCTCTCTCTCTCTCTCTCTCTCTCTCTCTCTCTCTC